CGCTCGCATCTTTTTAATAGTATATTGATTATATCGTAAATGATCGTACAGGATCGACGCGAAAGAAAACTGCAGATGATGGCGTATTTGTGAATTAAATTTTCATGGTCGGGGATATAACATTCGGCGTTGTCCCGCAAAATCCGGTAAAGGAGCACGTTATGATCGGTAGTATCCACGCGTTTGACATTCGTTTAATTAATTACTTTGCTAATGAAATTTTTTATTGCGGGACGCGATACCGTATTATGATTGAAGTCGTTTCGACCGTTTAAGGGTGGTCCGGGTGGCTTTACCGACGAACAGAAATGTTTTTGTTCCGGTTAAACTCACGATGCTCAACGAAACTTTAAGCTTCCTTCGCAGCTAATACTCTACAATTCCTGTTCAAAGATATTCTTTCTTCGATCGGTCGTACTATAAACCTTGCCAGTGAAAATTTCGCATGTTATTTTATCAAACAACTTGCAATATCTTTTTCGTCTGTCGTAATTTGCACAACAGTATCGTTGCATTCGTTATTTAAGAAAATCTATCTCGAAAGATTTTATCAAACGCTAACCAAAATTTCATTCCGACAAATGGAGCAGCTCTACGATATTTGCATGATCGTGTGAAACATTGCAATTTTGTATCATAATGTATCTCGTTTCGTTTGATGGACGTAGGTGTATGATTTTGCAATTTCATTGTATATTTTGAACATTTCAGCAGAGTCGTAACATTTTGATAGCACCAGGCAACCACGATTAGTATCGCACGCGCGTATAGCGCTCGTGTGACCCTAATTGGCATTAGCGTGCCACAGAATTATTACTCGCGAATAGCAGAACCACGGGTGACAAATGATTTCCAATTACATTGACGATCATATGATATGGTCGATCGTTCGCGTCTTTCCTTCGCAATCGTTCGCGTTATTCATCGAAGTTTACGATACCGATTAATATCTCGAAACTCGTATTTCATCTTTTACCAACTCTATCCTCGAATATTTGCCGTTGCAAAGTTAAAGCGAGGAAATTCAAATGTTTGGGGTTTAATTAAAATCGATCTCAGGAGCGAACAATTTACGATGAAGCTTCTACACTTGCATTTGCTTTCTCGAAACGTTTCTTCTTTTCACACTAAAGCTAGAAAACGTAGAATTCCGTCGATGATGATATACAAATTCTATACATTGGATTCTATGGGATTAATCTGTAAAGCTGATAACTTAAAGCGAAGATTGTGCCAACAAATTTGATTGTATTGGGTTTTAATCCAAAGATCCTGGTGATTTTGAATTCTGCGAATCAGTGAAGATAATCGATGGCATCTAATCGTTCTTTATGAAGTATTCGCGTTCCTATCGGACTCTGATTTACAGATTTCGCTCACCTATTCTATCAATCATATCAAATCCATCACTCAACAAACATGATTCAGTGCGTTTTTCAAAAGCAAAGGTGAAACGCACACCTAACAATAACCAGCTTATACTACTTTATACCAGCAAAGTAAGAAATCGTTAAATCGTATGATATAAAAGGCCTTGAACGTTTCACGATTTCTTAATTCCTTATTCCTAAAATTTCTTAATCAAAAGCGACGACCACAATCCTAAATTCGTAAAACGATCGCCCTCGATAAAATATGATCGCCTTGATGCGTAATAATAAAATGAAAAAAAGTGGTGCACAGACGTTTTTATTATTATTGACGCAGCATGATCGTCGTATGACGCGTGTAAAAATGACGTAAACCCACGCAAAAGTGTAGCCTTACACGCCTTGCGAACGTCCAAAAGAATTATCAAAACGATCTTCTGTCGACCTTGGTACTATACGATCGTCTAAACTCTTCATCTCTTCTTCAGCCTGCAGAACATCCTTCTTCGTTCAATACCTTTTTATCCTTCTCGATACGATACGATACGATACAATCGTACGCGTATAAACATTGAAAAACGACGTGAAATTTTAACTTCGGAATTGTAGCGACGTAGACGAACGACGAGAAGCGACAGAGATTCGTCATAGTCTTCGGCATATTCCTACTTACTGATTCCTATTGATACTTCGGTTATCATCTTTCATATCTACGAAGAAGATCCGTACGCGTCACGATCGTGATCGGGAAAAAAAAAATAACACAAACACGTACCGTTAATCGAGGCCTACGGTTAGAATTTCGCAGGGACCGAAACGCGAGTTCGTTCGATGAGTATTTTCTTCGCCATTGCAAGAAAAAGTGGCATAATTTGCTCTGTCTCGCCGCGCTACGTTGCTCGCCACGCGCACCACGCGCGACCAACTCCAAAGATTTCACATCGCGGTGATTTTATGCGGGCACAAGCGGGATTCAGACGTCAGAATATATTTAACATGGAGACTGATATCTCCGTTACTGGTAAAACAACGTTGAAATTGGAAATTCATCCTATTTAATAACGTTATCCTGTACGGTATGTCGATATACCAATGATTCGCTAATAAAGTTCAGTATCTTTCGTAGGAGATAAGCGAAGAGCTGATAAATTCAAGGTCAAGATTTAACGATCAATGGTATTAGTGTTCATTCATGGATGACAGTGGATTCTTTCGAAACTGTTTTACTTCCGAGAAATGAGGAAAAAAGAATAATTAAAGAATTAATAGGAAATTTCTTCAACTAAAATAAAGAAGAATCTTTGGGACAAATCTCTTTCTTTCCGAGAAAGAAATCTTATTCATTCGAAGAGGAACTGAAAAACAAGATTGATCTAGAGATTAAGAATGTATAATCTAAAGACCGATAGATTTGACTCGCGAGATACGTTATAGCTTCTCAGATCTTTCCTAGAATTCTCAAAAGGAACCGTAATATCTTTCATTAATCCATCAAAAACGACGAATACCTTTCTGACGTGTCAAAGTAACTTAACTCCATGGTGAAATTTGAAGATACTCTACCGAGAGATTTATATCCGAACTTACAAATTACAATGACTATACAACGCTTAATCGAAGATTACAAAGATAGTTAGAGTGGTATTTCATTTCAGAGCAAAATTATAACAATACTGGTGATTCTACAGTACTCTAGGACTTCTAGCACTTCATGGTAATAGTTCAGAGTTAATTCGAAGATACTTTAGAAAGATTTATATCTGAACTTACAAATTACAATGACTATACAACGCTTAATCGAAGATTACAGAGATAGTTAGAGTCGTATTTCATTTCACAGCAAAATTATGACAATACTGGTGATTCTACAATACTCTAGGACTTCTAGCACTTCACGGTAATAGTTCAGAGACAATTTGAGGATACTTTAGAAAGATTTATATCTGAACTTATAAATTACAATGACTATACAATGCTTAATCGAAAATTACAGAGGTAGTTAGAGTCATATTTCATTTCACAGCAAGATTATGACAATACTGGTGATTCTACGTACTCTAGGACTTTTAGCACTTCACGGTAATAGTTCAGAGTTAATTTAAAGATTCTTTAAAAAGAAAACTGTTTTCGGAGACTAAGAATCGTTGTTGCATAGACTTGATAGGAACCGAAGAATTCGATAACGATAACAGAAACATCGAACGATGGATTGATAGAACATTCGGACCACGAAACTTTCTTCTTCACGGTTTCTGAGCGGAGAGAGTCTCAGGAACGCATAAACACGTTCCGCTCGTCGTGCTATTGACCTTGCTGCGAGTAATCGTTGGTGCAAACGTTAACGACGTACCGCAACGATCAGAGAGGACCGTGTCGATCTCCATTTAACGCTGTGCACGTTGCTCAAAAGTAATTGGTTCAGCTGCACCGTTAATAACGATCCTCCTTACGCGGTAACCGGTTAACAAGCGATTCCTTTGGCTCAATCTTCGGTAAAAATACTCGCGGATAAATAGTTTCTTTAACGTTTCATCCTCCATCAATTGTCATCAGGATCACCATCCTTCAGCTTCAGTTTTGCAAGAAGAATTAGCTAGAAATTGAACAAAGCGGTTAGAAAATCTTTTATCTTCTTTAATCGAGAATATAAGAAAAACAAACGATGCAAATGATAAAATCTTGAATTATAAATAAAAAATCACACCACAGACCTTTCCAACTGTTTCGTGCCATTTACAACGGGCATGTTCAGTCGAGAAGACTGCGAGTAAAATCGAACTCCAATGGAATAATATGCTGCTGAACATAAACGTCTGGAAAGTCATTACGAAGTCTTCTAAATGAACACAGACGTCGTATATCGTCGTATATATGTATTTTTCTCGTCTTTGTGTGCGAACAAACGGCTGCTTGTACTATACAATTAGCTTCGGGTTCGAACAAATTTTAAGAAGATCGTTTGGAACGGCTGTTAAAAATTTGAAGAGATTGGTCCTCGGAAGAAGACACTCAGACACCTCAAGGTTAGCTGCAAGATCTGCTTGGAAGGATGGTTATTCTCGTCTTAAGTTCATCGACCTATCAACAACGTAGCAAAGTAACTTTACACGTTGTATCATCGGCTTCTACTTGAGAACTGAGAGAGATTTGCAATTAAAAATGTCCTCTTCAACAACTTTTTTGTATATTCCACTACAGTGCTCTCGCGATTCTCTGCTCTTTACTTCTTTATTCGTTGTCTCATAAGCTCCCTAATTGCAAGAATAATATTTTTCTGAAAATTAGAAGAGTAATCGGAAAAACAGAGCTTTCGATATTGCAAAAAAAAAAAGAAAAAGAAAAAAAAGAGAACGTTGAAGAAAAGAATTCTGAAGCAGAGACAAAATAGAGTTGATTAAAAACCGCAAAATTGGAACTTTTAAGTCTTCAAAGACTCGTATCATCTAAATAATCCTAATCCTTGATACTTAGTTCATAAATTCATCATAATATTTCCACGCTTCCAACCATATCCAAGATCCAGGACAATATTTCAATTCCTGGCGTTATCACGAACTTTCATCTGTTCTGCTAATTTTTTTCTTTTCTTTTTCTTTCCACTGATGCTAATTCCACGTTCATTTTTTCCAGTCGTGGTTCCGTGGCGTTCGAAGCAGCAAATTTCGCCACGTGTACGGCGTACCGGCAAAACGGGAGAAATGCTACGACAATATCAAGATCACGAAGAACGCCCACGACTCGCAATTCTGCGCAGTGAATCCCAAGTTCCTGGCCATCGTAACGGAAGTGGCTGGCGGCGGAGCATTTCTAGTCTTGCCGCTCGATCGCGTGAGTTATCTTTCTTGTTTATCGAGTTATCGATTCGCTGTTCTTTCCAGACGAACTAACTTTGCTTGATAATACGTACATCGGTGAGGCTGTTTCATAATACTATTCAATGTTCAATTATATACTATCGCTCAAAAGTATCGGGTTCCTTGGAAAATTCCAAGTTACCAAATGAGCAATAATAACCAAGCATACGTGTCGCTTCATAGAGAAATTTACATAAGAAAAGTTGGAAGGAATATATATCTACTCACGAAAGTATTCCAACGTCTATAGACGCCTTTTACGAGCACGTTGTGTGTAGACTGCGGATTTTTATGCATTTGTAGGAAAGTGCAAAGTTCTATAATATGCACATAACACGAAGAAATATATGAAATATCGAAAAAAGTATAGCGCCTTCTAGATAAAACAATCTTCTACCGAGGTTTTACCTGTTTGATTATATTTTCAAAAATGTAAATTTGCATAAAAATCCGCTGTCTAATTACAGTTACCAGTTGAATTCTCAGATTTCATTAGTGCTGTTATGATTATACACTAGAAGCATAACTTTCCAAGTAAAATTTAAGACCAAGCTATAAATGTATATAACATATATGCAGCGTACATCGATACAAATAGCGTGCATATCGAATGCTATTTAAAACGAAGTTCTTCTTGATGAATAGTCGAAGAAGTTGAAACGCATAGAGATAAAGATGCATGCAAATGATTTATTGAATAAGATTGTTCGATCGTTTAATTAATGACTTATTATGGTTGAATGTTTCCTCTTTTTATCTTTCAGACTGGTAGGCTGGATTTTAACGCTAGTAGAGTGACTGGACACACTGGACCGGTTCTGGACATCAAGTGGAATCCGTTTAACGATAACATCATCGCTTCCTGTTCCGACGATTGCACTGTACGATCGTGTTCCTAGTTTTATGTACCGTTGCTTAAAATAGTTGGCGATATTTATTGATCAAAGATTACTGGTACAGTGTTAGGTATTGACTATTAGATAAAATTGTATGGACTGATAAAGAAGTAGATCACATATGTACAGTTACGATATTTCTTGTAAAATTCAGCTTTCTACGAAGTAGGAATTTTCTAATGAAAAACGAAATCTTTGCCAACTGGTGGCCTGTCGCCGTGACAAATTACTACCATAAGCGACTGAATCATAGACCGTGTGGCATCGACCTTCCGGTCTGCTATTCAGCATCTAGACGATACGATGCTTTGTTTAAAGCTAGAACTCAACACTTTGTACTACTTGCAAGATATATTGTTTCTGTTATCTATAAAAGACGGCGTAAAAGATAGCAAAATAGGGTTTACTTAGTAATCTGTGTTTACGATCTTAATTCAGAAATTATCCATATCTTGTTTGTTCTGACTCTTTTAAATTGAAATTGTGAAATTTCCTTTGCTTTAAGCCTTCTGCGAATCTCAATAACTCTTTAGGTATTTCAAAAATATAACGTTTTAATGATTTTGTAAACAGCCTGTCTATATTTTACGATATTCTTCTTATTGTTAATCGTAATTTCAGATAAAACTGTGGCACATTCCTGACGGTGGTATATCACGAAATCTGACCGAGTGGCTAGTTGAATTGCAAGGGCACAAACGTCGTGTCGCGTACATAGAATGGCATCCTGTTGCTGAGAACGTGCTTTTCAGCGCCGGCTTCGATCACCTTGTTATCGTGTGGGACATAAATAAAGGAGAGGCTGTCAGTGTCATCGATAGGCATCCTGACGTCATTTATAGTATATCATTGAATCGTGACGGTAGCTTGCTGGCGACAACGTGCAAGGATAAAAAATTGAGGGTTTTCGAGCCAAGATCTGGCATCGTGGTTTCTGTATGTATCCACCGATCACGTTTGCATATCTTGTAATTATCGTTTTCTTGAAATTTACTTGAATAAATATTTCCATTGATCGTCCGTTGAACAGGAGGGAGTCTGCCATGCCGGAACAAAAGCTAGCAAAGTGGTTTTCCTTGGTAGCTCTGGACGTCTTCTTACGACTGGCTTCAGTCGTCACTCCGACAGACAGTATGCTATTTGGAGTCAGCATGATTTGAACGTACCATTGATATGTGAAACTATCGATTCCTCCAGTGGAGTAGTATTTCCATATTATGATAATGACACCAATATGGTGTATCTGGCGGGAAAGGTAAGAAATTATGTTCAAAAATTGTTACATTGCCAGTTACAAGTATTAAGATATCTGCTTGTTACATTTATTAGAAAATTCTAACAGATATTTCATTCCATTTGAACGAAACAACAAATTTGTAATAAAATAACTAGAAATTAAAAACAGTGAAATTTATACTGTAATAGCAGGTGTCTTGATCCTCATGGTCGACAGTGTATACGTTGAGAATGAATATTTTATACTTTTCTTATCGCAGGGTGATGGTAATATTCGATACTATGAAGTAGTAAACGAGGCACCCTGGATGCATTACCTCAGTCAATTCATCTCTGGAAATCCCCAAAGAGGATTAGGTATAATGCCAAAGAGGGGGGTAAACACAGCCATCTGCGAAGTATTTAGATTTTATAAATTGCACGCGACTCGAGGAATGTGCGAGCCGATATCCATGATAGTTCCTCGAAAGGTGAATACATAGAAATGTAAAACATTAAGCGAAACAAGTGTAATTAGGCACGGTGTAATTACCAAATACTTTCGCTTTTTAGAGCGACCAATTTCAAGAAGATCTATATCCTGACACTGTAGGTACTTGTCCAGCTTTATCAGCCAGGGATTGGATAAGTGGCATGAATAATCCACCGATTTTAATCTCACTGAAAACCGGTATAACTATTGAACTTTTCAACTTATTTTATTATCTTTTTCTCCTCCGTTACTTGTTACTCTATTCTATAAATTAAATGTTAACAGGTGGTAGCATTACCACGCACAAACCACGAGTGTACAAGCCACCGCAACTTCCACCGACAACCGATTTAAATAATAAGAAGAAATTCGCCTTTTTGTCTACCGAGACTGTACCGGATTACAGGCCCATCGAGTTCCACGATATGTCAGAGAAAAGCCAAAAAACTTCTAGCAATCAAAGCACCAAGTTCCAACAGTTGCAACAAAAATTCGGCAATGTTGTGCTACAGGTAGAGCTACCGTTTCTTTCAAGTCTTTATCTCCTTCATAGATTAGGCTAATTAACGTGTTTTGCAGAAAAATATCATTTCCGCGCCACTGAACGATAATAAGGTCTTGGAGAATGTAGACATTCCTAACAACGAGGCGGAATTAAGATTAGCATTTGCACGTCAGACTGACGAGTTACGATTGGTACGAAGGCAGCTCGCGAATAGTCAGTTACGCGTGAAAGAGCTGGAAGAGCAAATTCGCAAGCTTCAGCGTCAGTAAATTTTATTGAAGATCCTCAACGTATGCGCCGAGCAAACTTCCTTGTAGCTTTGTTGCTAGTTGTATGAGAAACATGGTACTTAACGAACAAATAACGCATACGTGTATTGTTCATGGCAATCTAAATGTCTAAGCTTTCGACGAAATTTGCACAAAAAGAAAAAGAAACAAGAAATAAAGACGGTGCAAAATGGATATTTAAAGGTGTTCGAGAAACTTTCAGAACTGGAAACATACACTGATTATCTATTAGTAACATATTAATGCAGTTATGTAATTCTCTCTAGTGTATCTTGTGAACGATATACGATGCATTTTTTATAGCATTTCTCGTTTCTCTATACGTTATCTTCTCTCTTTGCAATTTCTCGTGTGGCGATCTTGTACCGTTGTTAGAAGAAAACGCAGCAATGAAGCAACAATAATTTAGTCAATTTTTTTAGAACGCAGTTCGGAAACATGTTCTGCTGTAGAGAAACTGAACAAAAAAAAAAAAAAAAAATGAACAAATGATTGTGATTTACACTATTGCCTTCACTATACAGACGAGTTTTTGTCTATATAAAATGTTGATATTTCTCCGAGATGCAACGTTTCGTGTATGCAACTTTTGCACGTTTTAGCAAGTGTACTTCCCTTTTTGTCATACGAAGTTTAATACGTTTCTTTCGCTTGCACATCAAGACATAGATATACACACGTTACACCTATTATACGAATTTCTCCATCTATCTGAGCAACTAATTTTTCATTTGAAGTTATACGTGCGATCATAACGAGGGAGAAAGATCAGCTTAATATAAAGATGTAAAACTTGGACAAAGTATTAAATGTTCAGTACATGAAGAATTGTACCTGTCTTGTGCATACGCACGTTTATCGTATGCGACTCGTTCTATATAGAATTGTCGTACATAGAGTGATAGATAAATACAGAGATATTTAGGAATTGCGTAGGGGATATTATGGACGCAATAAAAAAGAAACGGACATCATTCGGAGATTCGAAAAATAGCACAAGATGCAAGGACTAATTATGACTAATAATTAAAATTAAGATTTCCTGGAAACGAGAATCAGAGAAAAAGAGATGGTTCGATGAATTTTCTGTAATACTTATTTTGTTGATTTCCTTCAAATGAACTTATGTATTAATATCTTGATATTTACAATCGTATTTATGTCGTTCGATTTGTTTCCTATACTGAATTAACGTTTATTTCTCGATGTTAATAGTCAGTTATATTTATGAATTCCATTATAATGGCTGTACATTAATCCATCAACTAACTTAAAACTACTATTGTATTCTATTCCGTATACGTCCCGTTTTTCTTTTTTTCCATGCGTAAGGTAATATAACGACGGTGTATCTAGCTTATTAACGTTTAAGCTATCTTGTATTATCGAGTGTATTGATCACTGCCACATTCACTGCCATGGTACCTGTGGCAATATAATGTTTTCTTTTTCAGCGAACACATGGCAGTGACAATATTTATTGTACACTATAATTAGTTTCGAATCTTAGGCTGACACTTCTTTTATATAGTTAAACACATAGAACTTAATGTATATGCATAGAGGAAATTTTGTCAATCAGAGAGAAAGAAAGCAAATGGACCTAGAGCGATCAAGGATCATTAATTAATTAAAAAGAAAGAAGAAAACAGTAGCAACTTTTTATTCACTTCTATTCATATTATTGTATATGCGAAATAATGCTGATATATGTGTGTCAAATTATATATTTCTAGGACCAACAAACCGGGAAAGAAATTGTTAGCCACAAGAAATTCTATTATTGCTTAGTAGCGATCAGATTTAGTAATGATTTATATACACTGTTTATACATATATATATATATGTATTTTTCATACGATATATAGTTGTAATTTCGAGCGAAGAAAATGTAAAAAAAAAAAAGGAGAAAAGGAAAGGAGAAAAAGAAAGGAGAAAGAGAACTCGAGTGAATATTCTAACAATAACTAATATATATGCTTGTGTTCAGTGCACATCAATTATTGTAACAAAAAAAAAAAAAAAGAAGAGGGAAAGGAACGACACAAAATACGAACACAAAAAGAAAAATCATTACTGATGTGAGTTTTATCATATGAGGAATGTTCAACCCGATTTACGAGAACTGATCATTAATACATGTAGCATAATGACAAAATATCATTCCGAAATATTTCCCTCTGTGTTACATTTAATATTTTAAACACAGCCATACGTACAGTTAGAGAAATCATTAATCATTGTGTTATCAAGGATAGTAGACTATGTATTGCGTTAGTCGTCAGGTATCTTAATATTATCGATATTATGCTCGATATTAGCCTGTGTGTGCGTTCTTTTTCTTTTTACAACTATAAAAAGACAACTTATTATACGATGGAGCTTGCATAAAATATGTGCATTTTTTGCAAAAAGACAAAGGGAAAGAATGATTTCCATCATAAAAGCCGCTTCGCAATCAGTTTCGCAATCTTATAATCTTTGTATTACTCGAAGAAGATCTTTTGCTTGACAAACACATTAATATGAACACGTGTATCGTCGTATTGAAAAATGCTATCCTATGTACCGTTCGCTATATAAACGTGGATATACCAAAGAACGTGCAAGTACCTTATTACGGATCGTCGTGAGACAATTTTGTTACCACCAGTTGAACGACTACATCATATTATATTTATACTCAGAAAAACGAGTACGTGAATGTAAGACGAGTGGAGGATTCTCGTTCGATGAAAATAAAGAACAAAGCATTCGATCGCATTTATATTATCTTGTAATTCATACAGAATATTCCTTAGTATCTAAGTCTAATTCTAGAATTGTTCGTGTTGTATGTTTAAAAAAAAAAGAAGAATTAAAAAAGAGAAACACAGTAGGTTTTCTTATCTACACTGCTCAAATATGAAAAAGATTCGTATTTTGTACAAAAATATACAAAAATAAGTAATCTAGATCTTTGTTAAATTAATAAAAAAAAAAAAAAATAATATGGTAAAAAAATAACTATATGTAAGTACACAGTTTAATAGTTGTGTACGAATGGAAACTTAACGTCATTAAAATTCGGTATTAGGAATGGGTACCTTAATTGTAATTCATATTACGAACGTGTCAATTAATTAAAACTTATTGGTAAATTCTAAACACTAGAATCCTTTTTTTTTGTGCTACGCAAGCCACAATTATTTTAGACAAGTATAAGCGTATTTGCAATTGTACAGTCGAAAAGAAATATTAAATCTATGACGACGCAGGTTAAATATAAATATAAAATGTGTTATTAACTATAATTATATTGGTAACTACTAATTAGTACCTTCGTTTAATATTTTGTCAAAAAGAGAAGGCACGTCAGTGTCATTTTATAAAATTAATCGAGTGCAAATTGTTCCCCTAAGGTACGTCAGAAATTGACATTCCGTATTACTTCGTGCTAACACATTAAGGACGGAATAGATTAAAAAAAACTGATTTTACACTTATCTTGAATGCATAAAATATGCATTCAAAAGAATTTTATCGGATAAAAATATCTACCTTACGAAGAATAATTCGTAAATTACTAATAATCCAATTGGTACCATCGATGCGATATTTGGTATCAAAATGGCCGCTGGATTGCATCCGTCTCCGGTACAAGTGAAGATACAGGTTCGGTAACTTAACTTGTCACCCTGTTGTTTCACGTAATCGCAATAATTCCCCAGATCCAGTGCTGAACAGAATCGTTTCGTGCCTATTCCACCTATTTCAACATATACAGGAAAAATTGTTTGTTTCTTGTTTTATCTAGCAAAAAACAATAACATGCGTTCGTATGAAAGATGTTAGGAATGTAGCGTGTTAATGCAAGCAACATGCAATATATTATTTGATTATTTATTTCTTATGGAATTGTTAAAGCATGACAATTTTCGTGAAATATATTCGTTTTTATTCATTTGTAAACATTTTCACTGAAGATTTGAAGGAAATATAATAGAATCTTTTATGCAATAGAGATAAGGAAAATCTACCGGTGAACACTTGACATAGAAAACACACAAACATCGAGACACAATGTATGAACCTCCGAATCGTCCGACCGATATGATACAGTACTGTGCATTGTATACATGACTGCAGTTCGTTGGTTGTAAGGTACTTATTACCAAATTGCTATCTCCGCAACTCAGTTCTTCTTCCGACGTACACTGGTAGCAATCCAGACTGGTCGCTTAATCGATTGAAAAAGCATCGATTATAGATGTTTACTATTGCGCGCTTCAATTCATGGATTAATTAATCGATTCTTTCATATTAGAATAGTTGTATGTATTGATTTAGCCAACACATCTTTCAATATCTAACGACAAACTTTCATAATACAAGTAGTATATTAATATTAAATTATTATTAATTTCTCTTATTATATGTATACAGGAACAAACTTCTGCTTCCTTCTAGCTCAATTACCTTACTAGATACAATAACAGAAGAATTAATAGTTTCGTCGTTACACATTGAACCATCCCTATATGCAGATGTGAATTAAAATAATGTTAGTCATCTAAAAAAACAATTCTAATGGAGATGATTATCGATCGTGCCTTGGTTGTTCCCGCATGCTTATAAACCGATAACGGCGATGTCGTTATATATGATTTAAGGTTAGTTTTCGTTTAAGAGTGCTAAGTTTCGCAACAAGATTCCCCTTTCCACGATATGTAACCTGAACTGCCGATATTGTTTTACCCTCGAATCGACCAGTGTGCTTCACACAATACTGCGCCTCGTAAACAGCATCGCAAGGCTGTGGTTTGATATCGATGTCGCTCGAGAGAAATTCGTTGCATTGGAAGGGGTCGGTGTTGTTTGTACTGACGCATTGATAACATTGTAAACTGTGCACTAAACGAAAAGAAAGATTGGGGATTCGATTTACTTCACGTTGATTCATAATTTTGTCAGCTAACTATAGACTAAATCAAACAATACTTTCCAGATTATAAAAAAAAACGTATTCTAACCTAATAATTAAAATTAAATAGTGAAATGACAGTACAAATATGTATATGTCTTAAATGTTTGTTTTAATCATTAATTAATTACTTATTAGGAAAAAATGATAAATTCATAATATTTAGTGTCCATGAAAAAAAATAATTGACCCAGATAACTTCTTATCATCTTGCGTTAAACTGTGAACTAATATGTATATAGTTCTCTCGGTCGATGATAAATAAATTATGTGATAAGAATTATATTTTCTACCACAGATTATATAAATTCGTGAATAACGATTTGAAGACTAACATCGGTGGCTCGATACAATATCAAATTTTGTTTACCATGAAATAAACTAATAACTTCAAGCTGTCATTTAAGAATAAATACATATTCAACTAAATCGATCCTTCCGCTTGATCCTTATAAATCGATGTTATGTGTAACTTAATATTATGCAATCGCGCCTTTTAATAAAGAACAATGTGGAAAATTATAAATGCCCCACCCAAAGGACGCCACGATATTCACATCATCTATAGTTACGTGCATTAACCTTACCACTTTCGACGAAAAGCAGGAATGCCGCGAAAAATGTGTAGCTCCTAATGCCGCCAATGGCGCCCATTTCGAAAGATCTCTTTCCCAAAGATAAAGCACAAAACACTTTTGATAACTATAATGTAATGTTCTTATATGTTTGCTTGGAACCACTTGCTAAAACAATTACATCTGTACACACGTCTAATTTCCGTTCGAATTTATAAGCATCTGAATGAACGGAACAACGACGCGAAAGCGACTGACTAAGCTAGAGAGAGGACCATGCATAAAGTAAGAAGTAAGTAGTATGACGTAGCCGATCCGCTCCGACTCGAACCGAAAATGGTCGAAGTGAGTAGATCGCACGATGTGATCTATAATCGATTTGTGAATCTTAATATCTTTTTATATCCAATGTTTAAAACATGTTAAAAATGTTACTGAGGATAATTCGGTATTGTATATTAGTGTTTATTATATTTCTATTGTTTTGTCTTTACATAAATAATATATCATTCTAAAATTTATATACGTACGCATTCACAGTAAGAGGTACTATAGAATAGTATACTGTACTGTAATTTTAAATTAAATTAAATTTCATATAATTCGATTTAATCGTATAAGTATCATTAGACTGAGATGTTTTCACGAAATTATTTTACATTATTTTATGTAATACAAACATAACATCTTTAAATTTTCTGTTTGAAAAAATAAAAAGAAAATAAATATATCTTCACTTTTCTTCAACAACATGATAAATTATTTATTATTTTTCCTTGCGGCTACTAATTAAATAATTTACGTAATTTCCGTAATTACGTAATAAATATAACTTATATATATTTTTTATGTTTAAAGTATTTGTCTAAAAGAATTTATAAAGCTACAACAGATCGCTAAAGCATTAATTTTCTACGGCATCATGCTTTACGGGCTAATTTAGAATTCTGTTTGCATTTTCGTTACTCAATAAGTTTGCAATTACTATACTACCTCTATTGATTCTTTCTGCTTGGAAGACTTCGACTTGTTTTATTCCATTTTATGACAACATTTCTTCATTGCTTTTGTAGTCCCTCTTACGTTTTGCTTGTTGGACAAAAACAACGTTTTCGATGGCGATTTTATCGTTTCCGGAACGTTGTTAGATGACTCGCCAACTTCCGATTTCCCTTTATTTACTTTCATAGAAACAATTTTTAATCTTTTCGCTCCATGTTTTACAATTGCTGTTTCTTCGGAAGACAACGCCATCTTGGAGAATTTGTTTGTCGCTATTAATTTTTTATTCGCATATTGAATATCTCTTATTTCTGAAGAATCGTTGATACATCCAAAACATGAACTTTTCAAGCGATTCTCTGAAGTTTTTAAAAATGACTTTACGATACTTTTTGGTCCGATTACAGGAATTTTTGAACTGCTCTCGATATCATTAACGCATTGATTTTTTAGCGGCCTACGAGTTACAGTTTGTCGAACTTTTTTATTGTTTTTTATTCTTTTTACTGCGGTATAAAGAGACGTAGTACGACGAATGATGCATGGTTTTTTTACGAAACTTGTTTCACTCTTCATCGAGTTCTTTAACCCAACGGAAGAGTTACTTATTTGAGATTCAATGTCTTTTAAATTATAAGAATCTGAAGGTATAATATTATTATCGTCCTGTGAATAAAAGCGCAAATAAGAAAATAAATACAATGTGAGAAACATTATATACTAAATAACTTGTGAGAGAGAGATTGATTTGTTCTTACTTTCCTACAATCTTTTGCCCCACCATTCCTGATTATATTAGAGTAAGAAAAGGCAGAATAACATTTCTTGTACAATAATGGATTCAACAACAGTTCATTCAACATTTTCATTTGATTTATGGTTGCAAACCTAATTCACATAATAGTTTATGAACAAAATGTTTAATGTATTAGAAACATATAAATTGTATGACAATTAATACAGTACTGGGACTAAGGAGATTACTAGGAGTAAAATAAAAATAAAGTAAATAAATTATTGCTAAAAATACTGTAGATTTATTAAAACAATAGGACATGTATATGTATTCATGTGTGTGTACATATATGTGTAGAATAGGATACATTATAAAACTTGTATACATGAATTTATACATAACACTCCTTTTGATCAGTAACAACACTTACATTCAAGTAATGAGAAGCATGACAATAAGTAGTATATAAGTTCTCTTATGCTTTTTAAGCATGGTAGCTTGATTTATATATATGTATAAATATGTACCATGATTCTTATATATATATATATACCATGCTATATATGAGAATATATACAATACATATATTTATCTTTAATAGTAATTTTATGTGACAGTACAACACACATTCATACTTGTTTTCATAACAGACATATGTACTTTGTATCTTTTCCTTTAAAAGCAAAGAAGTACATAAAACAATTAATTTTATAACTTTGTCATTTTAAATTGTATCAGCAATAAACAACAAATTTATTACAAAAGACATTTACAATTATTGTCATTCGTTTTATTAATTACGAGATATTAAATTCTAGTTTAAAAATCTGCACATCTTTTTTTAAAAAGACTCCATCAGCCGGAGATTTATAGTTGAATCATCTAAATCACTACGTTCTGCTTTTTTGCTAAAGAAATAGATATCATTAATCACACATGTGTGTATTTCTTACTACTACTCGCATCCACAAAATAATTCACAAGTGCATGTAGTATTAGTGTAAGTGCACTTATCTATTGTCACCAGAAGCATAGTGCGTCAAAAATTGTCTAAAGAAAATAAAAAGAGAATATATTTTTCTGTTAAAAATATAAGCATTAACATCGAATACTTTATATTCCATCATTTGGTTCTAATATAAAAGAATAAAAAATAGTACAGTCTTAAAAATTTCATATACTAAACATTGCATCATGGAAACACCATTAAGCGGTAAAAACAATGTATGTACAGAATATGTATTTGTTAATATAATGAACGCAACTTTAAAACTATAAAAAATTGCATTTTGTACACACTTTGTAATTAAATTATATAAGTCTAAAAAAAGGATAGAGAAACGGTTTTTCCATAAACCTTTATATAAAAGTATACCAAATATTATTGTCATGCATACATCTGTATTAGATTGGAAGACCCATTAGTTCAACATAATAAAAATTTTACAAGATTTATATTAGTCGCATATTTAAAATATAATAAATACCTAATACATTACTTTCCTAAAATTTCTCATTTACAATATTGCAATATAAAATAAGGACAGAATGTTTCTACAATAAAAAGTTCATAATTTCGCAATATTGAATTAAGATAATATACAATTTATATGTATACAAAATCTCTCTCCCACATTTTTAACGAGTAACAGAATGTGCAGTTTATTTAGGCACTAATGTGTCTTGATATTAAAATGTATATGAAAGCATATCAAGTTAATAGTATTATGAATTAAGAGAGTACACACTGTCGTATATTAACAGCTGCAAATTCACTCTCATTATTTACATCAAAATTTACCTTATGTAGAGATTTGCCGTTTGGCGAGGAAATATTGTTCACATATGCTAATTTTAAATAAGACTTTACACCTCTTAAAGAACGATATTGGCTATTTGGCAGTCGACTGTTAGGATTATTATTTGTCAGGTCAAGAATTGAAGGACCTAATGCTGCTCCAACCTGTAAACATAGCCGGACGATTATTTGTTATCTAATTATTTACGAAAAGATTCTAAGTATATAATAGCTAAACATGTCACCGCTTCAAAAACTGCTGGAGTATACTTTGGTGGAACAAACATATGTGTTACTGTTTTGTTCACACCATCACGAATTCTTGAAGGTATTGAATTTACTAAACGTCCAGAATTATAGTTACACTCAAGAGTATAACTACGTATCAGTCCAGTGAGTTTATATACAGCTACTCGACCCGATCCTTCTCTTGACATACCGTCTCTCTTATCTCTAAAAATAAATTGTTTACATGGGATGTAAAAGTTAACATGACATTGATCATAACAATAATAATAAGACGTACATAATATACATATTTCTTTCTGTAAAATTGCACGAAGTAAAATGAAAATTTGGATTGTTAATGGACATTAATTTTGGTAAAAGCATACACATTATTGTGTCCTCTGCATTATCAAAGTAGTTGCCATACATGAAAACACCCTTTTTTGAAGCATGACCATGAAGATCAATATATAAATATAATCCAGAGTCTTCTTTGGGTAATTGTCCTATACCAATAGCTGTATAAGTCTTTTTATCAGATTTAAGTTCTACAGAATTATTACTTTCTTCTGCTTTATTACACAGGCCTTCTCCACCACCTTCACATAATGTGAATAAATAAATAAAAGAATTTTTCTGATCACGTTCAATAATTCAATTCTAAATATCGTACCCTGAGGTATGTCATCCAAATCTGTTTTTGGTGATGCACATTCCTGAAAAATTTCCGGTTGATCTTTACGCTTTTCGTCTAAAGACATAAGTGTTACCTATTGTTAAAACAGTTGGTTAATACTTAGTTTCTTTATATACGAATTAGTATGTGTTAATATTTGTATACATGGAAAATTGTATTTTTTTGTTACCTGCTGGAGTAATCTCGTCGTTGTATCGCGTACTATATTTGCAATTGCACAAGAGGAATCAATAACAGTTAACGTATTTTCGCCATTTCCTATACACATATTTGAAATCTCGTCCTCTTTTGGCAGCTGATACGTATGATGATAATACCTTAACAATAGTTCCATTTTCATTAATTTCTCCATAATAATATTAAGACATTAAAGCATCATTGCTACTTTACCTTATCAAATTTCTTGCAGCATATATTGTTGGATGATCTTTTAAAGAAGGATTGAGATAGACTCTATTGAGATTTATTCCTCTAGTATCCATTCGGTAATGACCTCTAACTACACCATCAGGGTTGAGCATTGGTATCAATTTGAACACATAAAGGCGACGAAGATTAATTGCAATGTTATCCTCGCGATTTATCAGAAAATTAAGGAAACCATTAAAAACAAAACTAGATGGTGTTTCTCCTGGATGGACTCTCGCACTAATAAAAATTACCTATATATATATACATAAGAATTTTAGTATAAAAACACTTCTTTTATATATCTGTAATTACAATTTTGTAACTTTTATGTAGAGTTTCAAATAAACTATATACTTTTTTATCCCAAAATTTAAAAGGTCTTTCCTCAGTTTTTTCAGGAAACATGTTATTCAGTCTATCTTCTCTCTCCGTTGATATGTTATGAAATGAGCTTATTGTTATTAGATCCATCCTCCGTCCCTCTAAAGATTTTATTGCACATTCTCTATGATAATAAACATCATCTGCAGATGTTATACTTCTCTTTAATATTCTTGCTTCAACTCTTCTCAAATAATTTTGTAGATCGGTGTAAGAAAAAGGGTAAGTGAATGCAAAATATGTTATCGCTTTTGGATTTTCAGGAGCAAAGTAAACAAATGACAATGTAAAATCACTTCCTTTTTGATCCAACTGAAATATTGTAAATTTATATAGGAGCTTGGAAAAATAAAGAAGAATTACTATATTTAGACTATTTAAAATTTACAGTGTAGCTGGGTTTATCACGGATCCTTTCCCAATGCAGATGACCAGGTACAACTTTAAATACCGGACACATTCCTTGACTGAACATTTTAACTTGTTTATTCAAATTAATTATATTGAATTTTATATAAACTCCTGGAGTACTAGCTTTAACGCCAAAGTAAAACCATGTTCTGTTGTTGTTTTGATATTGTGTTCCATGACAATCATGTTTTGTCCATAAATTAAACTCATAATCTGTAGCATCTTCTGAATTTGAGCTTCTACATGATTTATTTTCTGTTTCACATGCATCTAAAGATTAAACAATTAAACATGGAATTATCAATTATATGTTAATGCACATCATACATGAATGTAGGTCACTGCAGAAGATGGTAGTTTACCCTTTTCAAAAGTCTCTGGCACTTTTACTAGTTCAACTTTCGCTAAATTAGCTGAGTCAAAATTATTATAAAATGAGAAACCGCCACATATAATAGAATCACCTGGATTTGCCATGATGTGTCAAAAGGTTATGAGGTTGTCTGTAAAATACTCGCATGAAATGTTTTACTCATGCATAAAGAACATAATATTTTGAAAGGTGTACACATTTGTAATTGTATTCTTACTTTCTCTGATATTAAGTGCAATTTTCTTCATTCGTAGCGTTACTTTCATATTAAAAAAGTCATGTTTGACAGTTATCTCGAAATCGTTACGATTTCCAGTCAAAGAAAGTCCGCCCTTTATATTACGAAACAATTAATATATTTTCAGAATCGAGATAAACACCTTTTTACATTTATTTTCGCTCACAAGATATGTGATACGTTATATTCACGTAATATTTCCACCAATACCATTGTTGTACCTAATGCAAACATGTTTACGACTTCATTATAGTTTTCCCATATCTCGAATCTAATAATTATGATAGAATAACGGATGTCATTAATTTTCAATTGTTTTAAACTCTTCTTGACGTATTCAGTGATATGTTAGTAAAGTTTTAATCTTTGTCCATTGAATCACATTCGAGATTAATATGGAAATTCGCTTGACTTTCCAAAGTATTACCTTACCGTGGAAATCTATTTTTTCATTATACGTTATGTAACGTAACATTTTTTTTAATTATTTTTTTCCTATTATATATACCTGAATTGAAAGAAACCTACCAAGAGCGTTTAAAATAACAAGACACAGATATTACAAAATGTACCGATCAACAATTATTTGATTCAAAAAGAAATAGTTACACTCTAATACAATGAAATACTATTTGCAACGAAACTGTACGAATCAGTGAATATATAGGTGGGCTTTCTATTAACAATTATTATTGTCAGCATAATTTGGCACAATACTCCGATTATTATGCACTTGTCTAGTCCTGTTAAATCATATGGCGCGAACAGAAATGCCCAATCAAATACTATCATCGAATAACTCGTAAATAATTGTGTGGACAACGTCTTACATGGTAACAAATATACTTTCTTATATTTAATTATGCATTTTCGATATTTTATCACATATATCAAGATCAATGGTGTACTTAATAATAATTAAAATTAAAAATTTAAAAAATCTAGATACGTGTTATCTAAATTATCGATAGGTACAGTTACCGATAGCTAGCGCACTCTATGTTGCGTATTATTGCAGTCTGCAGTGTGGATAAGAATTAAGTCAACAAGGATCGATTCCAAACATTTCAGTGCTTCATTCATTCTTACAACGAATCGAACGTGTGTTTAATCTACAAAATTTATGTTGTCACTTTTATAATAAAAGATACGAAGCTAAATGGAAAAGGCGATTCTGACAGTTCGTTCATTCATGATTCTTGAGTGATTCTCCGAGTGTCTGTTTTGAGATATTAGTTTAATTAATAGTTTTCACCGATATTATCTCATTCCTAATATACGTTCCTACGTTATATACATTCGTAAAGAGTTTGTCGCATGTATTGTTTGGGAAAATCACGAGTTTCTGTGTTATTGTCAACGTGTCGAAATCCTTACTTGCGATACGACATTACGTTCGTATGTACAGATCTGGAAACTCCAGTGGTAGGAGTAACGCTTTTAGTATCCGAAGGCGTGCTTTACAAATCAGCCGCTAGCCATAGCGCTGGGATCGATTTATTAAACTTTTGCAATTAACGCCATCTTCACCATCTTTACCACTAAAGATAAAGAATGTAAAGTAAACTACTTTTCATAACATAATTTAATTTATTTAAAGTAAATATACAGTATTTCATGTAGTGCAGATGAATTTTGTTTAAGTAAACGTAGATTTACATAATAGAGAAGAGTTTTGTTGTACACGCGGCCGTGTTGTAGGTTGCAGACACAAGTCGCGCTGCACGACGAAGCCTAACAATTTGATTGAAGCGCCTTATTTGAGAAACATTTTCTAGCTCGTAAGAGTTTCGCCCTCTCTACTGAAGTTTCCAAAGCTGTGTTGTACTGTAGTATACTACTGTATACAATCATATACGTCAGCGTGCAGATGATGCGTTCACTGTCAATGGTTTGGCCCAATAGCGTTACATACACGTACGAGCCGGATGTAATTGTGATTGTACCCCATACCTATACGAAATCTCATGTCATAAGAGACAGGAGCACGCTGTAGTGAGGCTCAGACTGTGATTCACAGTAACTCAGAGCAATACGAAGTTAGCAAGTGACATTCTGATCGCTTTCCACTTTACGTTTAATCCGATTAACTTACGTGGCGGGTATTCGACAACAGAAACAACATGTGCGGTGAGTAGAACTATGTTTTCTATTTGACATTTTTTTTTCTATCATAATTCGATCGACGGATCGTTCGATCGAAATGTTTCCACGATGAAAGTGTACATCTGCATAAGCCCGGTTGAAAAGTCTAGTTGACAGGTCATTTGAGTGCAGAGTAACGTTTCAGCCTGTGCAAATGCGCCACCGGCATGTTTCTTCTACAATTCTATTTGGCTCAACATCTGGCACATCTAATATTCGCGTTTGCTGATCGAAACGTTGCCGTGTCGGTCAAAGACGAAGGACGAGCATTTAAAAGATCGAATGTTTGCTCGTCGGTAAATCGAGGCTCGTTAGTACGTTAATATCAAGCACACGAAGTATTGGAATAACAACGCGGGATCTTTCGCGCGTTTCGAATTTCCCATTTCCGGAATTAAAGAAAGCGACAAACGGAGCGTAGAATTTTGTTCCTAACCGTTTCGCTGCTTTCAAGCAAATTTTTACAAAATGAGAAATTATGATTTTTCCATATTGACAACTAATTTCACATTATGCTAGGATTATAGTATTAATTGTACGTTTGATGGATATTAACGAATTATTACGTCAGGTGTACATTTATTAAAATTGACTGATTATTTTAACGAAAGACTTTTTAGAAAGACTAGACGCGATCTATCGGATCTAATATTTTCACAGCACATTAGTATATTTTTCATTGATCGTCAAAATCTATTGGATTTGCATGAGGGGCGATCACAAGGCCGCGGATCGGTTTAAAATTTTTATTTCGATAAGAAGAAGTGGAAGATAACGTTATTAAATACAAATGTTGTACGAATATAGTTATAATACGCTGAAATCTAACAGTGACATACAGTAATCGTTATCACACATGATAAAGTGATAGTCTAAAAAAGTCCGGAATTAAAGAATAATATGGATAATTTTAGTATTTTAACATCAGCGAACAAATAGATGGATTTTGGTGGTTCCTGAGATAAAAGTTCCGAGAATCTGCGTTGCAATTGGCATTCACCTGCGCGAGGGGAAATTAACGGTTCATATTTTTTCTTCGTGACAGCCTTGGGTATATCAGTGTTTAATTATCTTCCTTCTATAAATTTGCCTCAAGGAAATACGTAGCTGCCACGGTAGCTGAGTAATTTAAAAGTACAAAGATTACAGAAATTGAGAAAAGAAAAAGAACAAATTGCTTAGAATGGTCCAAAAAGATAAGTTCTTTAAAAGATCTCCCTCGTAGTTTCTTAAAAAAGGGCGCCATTTTTTGAAGCTTTTTATTACTTCTTATCCTATACATGAATATTTGATGCAATTGTTTACGTATGTTGATCGTATCAATTTACCAGTAATGAGTTTTTTTTTTTAATGGGAACGGTTATAACATTTGAATTTCTCCGAGTTTCAAGAGACGCCTTATCGTAAAGTCGCAGGTTCTACATTGTGACGCGACGAAAAATCATCGAAAGGCAGGACGCGGTTACGAAAGATTTTTGCGTCATTCTTCTACCGTGTAATATGTTGTTTCTTTTTCTTTAATCGTTCACGTGTCACGGCGAAAGTTAGTCCCTTTCGGTAATCGAATCGAAGAAAAGAATTCAATACGCTCGTAACACTTCTTCTTCGTTAAAGACTAACAGTATCTATTCAATCATAAATTATCCGAAATTAATTAATTCACTGTGAGTCAATGTTGCATTTTATCTATTTTTTTTTCGGCCGATTTACAATTTTATCGAGCATACGACAAAGCCGTTGACTTCGTTGAAAATCAATATTCATGATCGACGAATTAATAAATTTTCTGATTATGATATCACTGCCGCGTCGTCTATTGATAGAGTCGTGTCATTTTTTTTTTAATATTCTCAATTTTTCGTGCTATTATTCAAATAGTATTCTTATTTGAAAACGACATAGAGTCGATGAATATTTACACTCTGGCAGCGTGTCTTTAGTATTTGCAGACTCGTCGAACGCTTCGTAGATCGAATTAATTACAAAGCTTCGATTTAATTAAGCAGTCAACTCGACACACCGACAGAAACACGGCAGACGCCTTTTAACTTCGACTATAGCTTTTAGATAAATTTCTAGACCGATGTTGCCTTTGTCTAGCTTTAACAAGTTGTACGTTTCGTGGACAGTGCCAACCAATATTGTTCTCCAGGCACGAACGCGTTTCCCAGGTACGCACCTCCATTTCCACTTTTCCTTCGAACGATCGAGCCACGATCGTGACTGGTCAACGACCTCACTGTTTACGTCTGACGCTTAATATCCTGCAATCATTGAGAAAAATTAACATATTTTTTACCTGGATGCTTTGGTATAATTTACTATAATACATAATGTCGATTATTCAACTTTCAACTTGATTGAAATGAATTTGATTTGGTTTCGAATTAAATAAAATTTCTAATAAACTTTTCCAATTTCTTTTTCGATCTACAGGTACTTGCTGATCATATTTCTTTTAAATTTATAAAAGGAATTTGGTTTTGAATGAAATAAAATTGAATAGAAAACATAGGAAATCGTTGATACAACTTTCCCAGTCTTCTTTTCGCTGTATATTTATTGACTGATTATTTTTGTCAAATCTGTAAAAGTATCAGCGTTCTTTGGTAGTAGACAAATTTAGAGGGACAACTTATGACGTAACTGAAACGAGATTTTATTCCTCTAAAATTATTCAATAGCCATCGGGAGATCTTTGCTAAGAGAATTGCAACATCGAGATTTTTTCGAAAGGTTGACTCGTTTGGTAATTACATTTAGGAATTAACTTTCTTCGAATCGTTGTGTTAAGATTGCGAGAAATGGGAGGAGTGTCGAGAGAGTTGTGGCAGAAGGAGAAAGACTCTTCTCGATTACGGAATTGCGAAATCCCCGGTCACAGATTACCACCAACCACTTTGTTGGAGACGCGTGTAGGCGCTGGAGGTTGAGTTGAAGTAATGGAGTATGAAATATTAATATTTTTAATATATAGAACTTGGTTTTGAATATCGTTGAAGATTTACCGGCAAATTACGGAACTATACAAGATTCGACGAAGACCTCTAATATTATTCTGCGAAAACCAACAAAACAATATTGCAGAATTTCAAATTAGGTCATCCAGTTTTTCCAAAAATATTCATCCAAACGAAACGAGTAGCAATAATATTCCGAGTTGCTTTCACATTGTTTCGCATAGAGTTTCCACGATATCGATCTTTGAAAATTTCTTAAGACTGAATTTACGGATCGCAAAGTTTGCAAAATTTCATCTGGATCCTAAAATTACAAACCATTCCGTGAAGACTACCAAACTTTATCCTACTTATCGTAATCTTCCAAAATTGCACAATCTTATTCAAACTTACAAATTCCCACAAATCCTACAATTTCCAGAATCCCCAAATCTAACAACGTTCCTCTAAAAAAATGCTTTCCTTGCCAGAGAAATCCAACTAACTGAAACTAACGATCGCTATTTATTTCCTTCCTTTATAATCCTCGCGGTGATTACCAAATGCCTGTTTCAAAACTGCATTCCACCAAATTACGGAAGCATATAGACGCCGTATTACGTTCTAGCGGGTAATAAGACTGTCCATGGAGTGTTGCAACGAGACAACGTGACTCAGTGCGAGCCCGTAACTCACGCTTCTCAAAGTTCATTGAAAGTTTACCGGAATAAAGTGGTCCACGTTTGCATGGCGTGCCGTGTATCCTTATAACGCTGCGTTTCGTCGACACCCGTGGTCTTACAATAGAGCCTAATCGAATGTGGTTATCGATACTGACACCGGAGTGTCGACGTGCCCGCGACCAACGACGAGTGAAAGTTTCCTCGTCGCGAACCTGACGCTGGCGTGAGAGGGTGCAGCGTTTTACAGGACAGTTACACGTGACATTTAGACGTGGCCTCGTGTGTATGGCACAGGCACGTATATACGTACCTATATATATATATATGTATGTATGAACCTGGTATCGTGTAGAGGAAAAACAGACTTGAAGAACGCAACGAAACGACCGATACTTCCATCGTGTTCACAGTTTTTTAATTATTTAATATCACGATTAATTCGTAGGTGTAGAATCGATTGTTCATGGTAAGGTAACGCAAAGTAGTTACGTAAGACAATGTCTTAATCGCCTACATTTGCCGATTGAAGATTATCCTGTCTGATCAATGATCTTTGCCCGAGACCAATTAAGATTTCGTGAATTTTCTTAAGCGCAACTGACGAGTCTGACTGTCTGAATAAATCGTTCGTATTCTACTGCTAAGTTTACGCTGGCAGATGGTCGTGGACAGGAAACGTGCCGCAGCAAATCGCATCTATCCTTGCGCGGACTTGCAAGAAATTGCACGGATACTGATTGGTTGCGACACGTGTCTGCGGACAATTGTATATCAGCGTAGACTTAGGTGAAACTAAGTCGTAGATTTTCCGACATGCAAATAAACTTAGAATAGGGCTAAATTGAGGCGAGGGCAAGAGAATAAATATTCCGTCTTGCGGATGGAATAATTTGTGTGGGCAGTCGCGAATGTTTTGAAAATATTACTACATCTGATATAAGTACTTGAGAACCTTCTATTTGCTTCAAGACAAACGAGTTAAGATCTTGCATATTATGCTGCGTTTTTCTTATTGGATACGCGGCTTTTTTCAAAGAACCACAATTTCCCTCACAATTAAACGGCGGGTCGAACTAATGTTTAATTCAGAGTGACTACTTGACGTAGATGTAGCGGGATTTTCAAAACATTCGCGATTGTTCGCACAAATTATTCCATTCATAAAACGGAATATTTGTTCTTTTGTCTTTGCCTCAATTTAATTCTATTCTAAGTTAATTTCCATGTCGTAGAAGCTGAGACACTCGCAATACGAACGATCTATTGGTACGGTCAGACTCGTCAGTCACGTTTAAGAAAATTCGAGAAATCTTCTTAATTGGTCGCTATTTAATGGACGAACCTGATAATCTTCAATTGGCAACACTAAGACTTTGCTACATTTTCTACACGACAGAAAGCAATTGGCAAACGTAGGCATTGTGACATATAGAGAATAAGGTGAATTGCTTTAATTAACTACATCGCATTGCTCTACGATGCACAATTAATTCTACGCGTATGAATTAATCTGTAATTCCGATAAAAGTGTTGGTTGTTTCATTGTTGTTATTTCATTTTTCAAATCTCTTTTTCTTTTTCATCATACGAGGCTGTAAAATAAGAAACAAGGCAATATCTAAATAAATTTGTTATTTGCGAACATGTGGAACAATTTCTTAGTTACTTGAAAATACGATATCAGAGAAAAAAATTTACTCTGCATCAATTTTTCAAAAATTTCAAGGCCGTGACTTTTTTTCTAAAGCAATCATATATCTTATTTATATATTCGTACACCACGTTAAAAAACATATTCAACGATATATAAACATGTATAGTAACACTACGTACTACTATATACTATAACGGAGAAAAACGAATTAGAAAGATAAAAAATTATTAATTTCGATGTGGCACGCTTGCCCAATGTCACAAGCATATGTATATTATCGATTAAAGATATAAATACTTCCGTCGATTTGTGCAATTACAATATGCAAATTTGGTCAAATGATCGAATTTGTACAAACGAATGACGAACCATACTGATCAGAAACAATTCTCGTACATAGTAGTTTGACCATTACAAAGGCCAGCTTCGTAACTGCGTATCGATTTTCAAACTGCAATTTATTCATAGAATTTTATTTTAATCTGAGTTCATTTTTGGCATATCTCGAACGTGTGTTTAACGTAAAGATGTAATAAACCTGCGTAAATCAAGGCCGAAGTTTTATTATAAAACGATCCCCGATGAAGACCCGGTACTTACGTTTTCAAGACACGACTGTCCTGATTATCGATCATTAACATTCCGCTAGAACCATAAACGCTTCTTTTTTATTACTCTTATATCTCACATAATAATGAAATTATTTCATCGATAGATTATCTATAGATGCGTCAGGGATTTTGGAAATCTACTGATAATTTTTAGGCATATTATCATAATCGTAATATACGGTTGTTGCTCTCTAGCATGATAAAGTCAAAATTTATCCAGATAACTTAGGCTTTTTGTAGCGATAAAATGGAAACGCTTGTTTAAATGGGAAGATTCGTAACTTTAAGCGAGTAACAACGGTCAAGTTTCTTCTTATCCTCGAGTACTTTACGCAGGACTTGGCGAATCCTTTCTCCAGGCGACACCAGTTTACCTTTACCTTCCTCACGAAAATTCAAACGCGTGGCCTCGCCACAAGCCAGAACCTGATTTTTGTTTACGTCCACGGAATTCTAAGAGCAGAAATTTTGTTCGACTCACGACGAAAATAACCCGTTTATCCCCACAGGTAGGAATTCGTTTATGGTTCCTCTTTCTACATAGAATCTCGTTGGTTTCCCTTTCACCCGTTTATCCGCTATTTCATTCGATTCGCCTGGCGAACAAATTGCCTATAAATTGTCTTTTCGTTCGTCGTTTATTTCCCAGGCTTAAGTGCATCGGCACTATTTCGTTTCTCTTTATCTATAAATTTTCATCGCAAGAAGCTGCAAACACTTTTCTACTTATCGACACTCTATAACCGTTGAAAAGGTGCAAAATTCGCACATTTCGAGATTATTCGAGGAACAATAATACAGATCGATTTAACGACATTGATCGAGCTTTAGTTCGAGGTATATGTTTCTTCGTTTAATGAATTTTCATTGCAGGAGCTTGAAATCATCTTATCGCTGGTTATTAAACTACAGATATTTGTATAAATTAATAGTTTCGTTATTCGTTTCACTCTCTAAGTATTATAATATAGGTATACTTTGAACAGTTTCCATATCTTTGTTACACGCATCCTAAACAATTTTCCATTTTTAAGTCTTTCACTGTTGCATGAACAAAACGTTTCGTTTGTCATTACAGACGATATTTGGGTAAATTCGGAAATAGAATTCGAATAGAAATTTCCTCATATATCGTACGTGAAAAGATGCAAACCACTCGAGTTATACGATCGCTGATTTATCGAACAGATCTCTATTCAGATCGTCGAAACAAAATCAAACGACAATAAAATAGCTACGTTCCAATTGCGGTTGCAATTGAAGAAGTATCCTAGGAAAGAATCGGCTATATCGTGTGTCGAGGGATTACAGATGGCTCAAGGTCTATGGAAATCAAGAAGATCGAATTGGAATCGATTCTACATACCGCTAGTACGACTACCAAGCGACCTTTCGTTGATTTCCTGGGCCATTCGAATCGTTTTGTGTCAGTAGGTCGGAGAAGATCGGCTATTCCGATTATTCGTTCATATTCCAGTCGCTCGATTTCCTTCGCGAACACGAAGCGCATTCCGATTAAGGAGTTTTCCAACTCACAGTAACCCAAAATCGTTTCAGGAAGGACGTGTACTACGTGTGAATTGGAAGATTTGTTGAAGTTATCGTCGTTATAAAATTTTATATCGGATAATGTGCGTTGTAACATGAAACGTCTTTCATTGTACGTCATTGTAAGTTAAAAACGGAGAAAAAAAAAGTGGCGAATACCTGGAAGTAAGTGCTCGAGAATAGAATCGAATGAGGCTAAATCTATAATCCTCATCGTTATCGATCTTTTATCAGAAGATTAAACGCAGCAAATGATTAAAAATCGAAATAACTTCCGCCCGGCGATTATTTTTCTTATCCCGACAGCAACAAGACATGATATACTACACGATAGCGATATAAAAAAATGGGCTTATAGGATGAAAAATGTAGAAGCAGTAATTACTTTCCGTCGTACATATTATCTTTGGAGTTTAGTGAAATTTTAAGTAAACTGCACGGCATGTTGATTAGCGAAGGGGAAGGCCTTGCGAGATTAACAGGATCGAGCTTATCTCGATAAAAAATATTTTTTCGTTTCCTTTCGCAAAGGTACTTCGTAATCTTCTTACTGTTATAATCTTTCCTTTCTATTCTTCGTTTTTTATTGTACAAAGCTTCGCTAGGATGTTTCTATCAGGAAGTTCGCTTATCGACGATTGCAGCCCGCAATCTAATCGTCACCGATCACTCGATCGTCTATTGTCAACTCTACACAAAATCAAGTTACGTCTACTCGCCGATGCACTATACGCTCGCGATTGTTTCGCTTTTCGTAAGTTCCTCCACGGTGACAGTTACTCCGACCGGTGACTTTCTTTCTTACTTTACGTCGATTCTGGTCGTTACTTCTCTCGCTGGTGATGGGCGGTAATTCAAATAATTATCCTTAATAATATTTTTCATCTTCTACATCCGTAATCTTTTAATCTTTCTTTTATTAAATATTCATTCTCTGCGAGGCTGGCGCTGGTAACTCTGCTGCGAGTGAAATAAGACGTGTCAATGGGTGTTAAACGTTCTTCGATATTTTCGCTATTTTACTCTGTGATCCTCCTATCGTGGCGTATATCTTTTATATCCCATTTGATCAAAGTATTATAGCAGAGTATAGCTGTGGCTTATAAAGTGTATCTCGCGTTTCTCCTTTTACTTTAGATTGCCGTGATTCTCTGTATTACCTCGACGTGACGAAGATACCCAATTATCGATATTTTTTATTGTTATCGTTAGATTTTAAACACTGAACTGTGTTAAATATGGTCGATCACGCTTGACAGAACTGTTTATTTTCAAAGGCGGAACGGGACGATCGTTAAATTAGTTACATGATGGCGAGGTGTAAGGTTCAGGACATTTACTACTTGTCGTAAACTTTATCACAGCCGCGATTTCCACAGGATTTCAACGTAGTTCGTTTCGCGATTATCGTTGTCGGAGGTCGTAAAGTCCGCGGCCATCGGTTTCTATCGATTCCAATAAAGAAAACTTGCTGCAGCAGTCGATGTGGATCGATAAGAACAAAATACCTGGAACAATTACTTTTTCGAATTTTTTAAATGTAAACATAGGCAATGTCTGCTCTCTTGTTACAATATATTTTATCATATTAACGTGTTCTTTATTCTTTAATAAAACTTAATCGTTTCCACTAACGAACTAAAGAAAGATACAGCGATCGATTGATTCGAGTCTCAGGCCAATCCTACATTTTCATCCGTCAAGCACAACATGTCAATGAAATATGTTGTTTTCTGTTATATTATTGGTAGGTAGATACGTATTATTAATAAAATATTTACGAAATTCCTTTGAATGTGGTTTAATTATATACGAAATAGTTGGTTGGAAATGGTAAAACGTCGAATGCTGCTTAGACCGCAAAGAATTGATTTTTGTGCGTTTAGAAGAAACTACAAATTCCAACTACCATTACGTAAAATTGAACCGTGAAAAACGATTAACGCGTCGATCATGCCACGATGGCTTTCTAAATCGAGGACGACCGCGCCATTTCAAACACGATACATAGTCTTAAATTCCCGCGCTAAGACAGCGCGCAACCGATAAGGTTGCACATGGAACGATCGAATCGCGGATCGTGTATCGCTTAATGTAACGCTATACAATGTTGTCACGATTATCTATTCAAGATAAAAATTTAAATAAAAAGTTTCATCGAACTTTGATAAACTTGCAATACAGTCATCCAAGTTTTCTAAAAAGAATACTTGCTATCGAAGTTGTTGGCAGACCAAAACTTCGAATTCTCCAAATTTTACGTAATACGACATACAGTTTGACATATACAGGGTGGTTGGTAACTGGTGGTACAAGCGAAAAGGGGGTGATTCTACGCGAAAAAAGAAGTCGAAAATATAGAATAAAAATTTTTCGTTTGAGGCTTTGTTTTCGAGAAAATCGACTTTGAATTTTCGTTCGGTACGCGTGCATTTTATCGCGTCTCGTTATAACGGATCTCACTGTAGATCGTTGTCTCGATGGAAAAATTAAAAAAAAAATTTTATTCTATATTTTCGACTTCTTTTTTCGCGTAGAATCACTCCCTTTTCGCTTGTACCACCAATTACCAACCACCCTGTATAATAATAAAGAATGCTAAGTAGACGATCCAAGCGGCATTTAGAATGCGTCAGATACGAATATGGCACGTTGGGTTGCGAGTAGATAGTTTCTTGTTGCGAACTACTCGTGCGTATTCTTACATATATAAGATATATATGTTAATATACGACTTTCGCCGACGGAATAAACGACGACGAGAACATCTACGTTTACGTCTTTTTTCTCTTCGAGCTTCCGAGCGATTTGCGAGTATCGTGTTACGGTATCTGATTTCGGTCGTGTGGCTACCTGCACAAAATCCGATATCCTATATTTTTTAAACAACTGTATGTGCAATAGTACCTAAAAAAAAAAAAAAAAAATAACCAAAAGCAATGTGTTCCAATGTCACATCAGCGACACTTTGTCGTCGTCTATGATACGTAGAAATGTATATTCGTTGAGTATCTCGAATAAAAATAAATAAGACATCGTGCATTCATCATGAAGAAAATTGAAACACGATATGCGTCGTAAATACGCGATACTAGGCTCTGTAGAAAACGCATCGCACGCGTACGACGCGTGGTAGCGAAAGGATTAACCTAATCATCGCTATCTACTTCTTCTTATATAGATCTTCCATAATATCTTTGGAAATTTTCCAGAGCTCAATTTTGATAAATTTCACGTGACCTTGAGATCCTGAACCAGCCCTTAAATATAGTCCATTTATTCTAAATTCATCTGGGATGATCGTACAATTAGCCATATGTCGTAACTGATTTCGTTACTACAACGTTACCGCGGTTATCAGTCAGAGAGAATCGACTCGAGTTATTCGATTCACGTGTTTCAGAAAAAGCACAGGACGCACGAACCAGAGAAATGGCGCGTTCTCTGGCATTGGAGAACCGAACGCGACGTTCTAACGACCATTTCATCCGGTCTCATGTATACGCGAGCTTTCCCTTTCACCTATAAGCGTGTATCTCGAATTATACCTGTTCCCACTTGCACGCCACTTCTCCGTGTGTACGTTCGTGTTCACGGGCGACGACTTTTTGCATTTTTGCATTTTTGCAATGCTTCGCCAGGGACCTCGAACACGGACCTCTCTTGTATCGATAGACGGGTGCTCCTTCGAGGTGGGGCATTCGGAATTTTGAGCCGATTCGAAAGTTTCCGATCGTATTGCTCGGCTAACCGTATTATAAAGCGTTGAAAAAGCAGGAAAGAATGCGGTTTTCGTTGTATTTGTTCTTGTCGTGATTAATTGGAAAATCTATTTCGAGTAGCTGAAGTAGAAAATGGTAGAAAGTAGAGTAACCGATTGTTTCGTCTACGTTCTAATAATTTCGAATATAAGATCGATTCCTTATCTTGAATTACACGTCTGTAATTCTGGAAAAGAAAAAGAAACATCGTGACGAACATTTCTTACGATTTAGCTACATTTCTGTTTCGTTCCTACGAGTTGAGACCTATTGCTAGCGTGGGAGTTGGTATTTAACGAGAAACCTTACGAATTCCATCGACGTGATTTTCAGTTTGAACTATATCCAGAGTTCATTGAATATACATACGGTGGAGTACTGGTTTTTGACGAAGAAAACGAACTGGTTAATAAATCGAATCGTTTCCGCGTTTTATCGCTGTGGTGACCTTCGAGCGGTGAACGCGTCGCGGGAAAATGTCGAGAGGTTTAGAAAAATGCTGTATCGTCGAATGTATCGTAGTTCTATCGTTCTCTTTCTCTTAGAGAATGGTGAGAGAACCAATGGAAAGGCTGATTAACCGTCTATTTAAAATGTTACGTAGTTGTTGAGTAATTCATTTCACTTACTAATCCCGAAGTCTAGTAGTCTGGCAATATGATCGGAGGTATCGAAACGCTGATAAAAAGCTCAGCATTATATTATAATTGCAAGCATTGCGATTAAAAGCATTTAATTATAATCAGCAATAACGCGAATTATTTTCTAATACATTGAACTTTTTTATCCCATATATGTAGAAGAATAAACGTTACGTATTTGCTTTTTGTACAGGAATCTTTGCGTATCTCAATTATTTGACGCCGAAGAGCAGGAAGGAGATCCTCGAGCTGCTGGTTGGTGGATTAAAGAGGCTAGAATATCGAGGCTATGATTCGGCAGGTATGGATGAATCATCGATCGTATTGTCGAAAATTTCTTCTTGCAAAAGCGATACTTTATCGAGGAGAAAACGTGAAGAGGCCTAATTTCAAATTCGCCGTAAACTTTCTGTTTCTGGGAATAGAAAGCTACTAAAAATTCCAGTAAAGAAACTCTGTCTCGATACGTGTTTATTTCTTTTTAGGTGTCGCCCTTGATAGCGCCGATGGCAAGGATATCTCGATTATTAAAAAGCAGGGAAAGGTCAAGGCGCTCGAGGAAGAGATCTTTTATCGTAAGTATATACGATACTACTTTACACTTTCCACTTACATTGTAATGACATAGCTTAACATAATGGATGACAAAAATTTGTTGAGGTAAGTATAACGATGAAATTATTTCGAATATGATCAGTTTCTAAAATTCATTATTTTTCTACAGGTACCAATATCGACTTCGAGTCGAAGGTTTACAGCCACGTGGGTATCGCACACACTCGTTGGGCGACTCATGGTGTTCCATCTGAAGTGAACTCGCATCCTCAAAGATCCGATGTCGAACATGCTTTCCTTGTGGTGCACAATGGTATAAATATTATCTGATACTTACCGCGTGTTTATGGGAAATTGAAAATTGTATTATTCCATATAATATTTACGAGTCGAAGCAGATTGCTACTTATCGTAGATTTTATTTGTTTCGCAGTTGTACCTATAACATACTATTACTCGTAGAATTATAATTTGGACGAACGTTCATTGTCTAAGTCAAATTATATGAGGAATTGTTCCTGTTTCATTCCAAAGTCACGTTCTTTCTAAAGGTATCGTGACAAATTACAAGGAAGTGAAGACGTTGCTTCACCAAAGAGGCTACAGCTTCGAGAGTGAAACCGACACGGAAGTAATCGCTAAGCTGATCCACCATCTCTGGGTACAACATCCGGGTTACTCGTTCCGCGAGCTAGTCGAGCAGGTTGTTCAACAATTGGTAGGTATTATCGACGACAGCTGACGCACAGTCTGTGAATTAGGATTGTTTGAACAACTGTAAATTTTACCGCTTCGTATTAGCAGTAATAATGTTATTATCGGTAATAATATTAATGATAATTTTCGCGATAAGATAGGGAAAGAATTTGATTTTTGTTTAAATTTCCAAGTGACACGTGTATTATATATTTAGATAATTAAGAGGAGCAAAAATTGAAATTGTAGGAAGGTGCGTTTGCACTGTGCTTCAAGAGCAAATATTTCCCCGGTGAATGTGTGGCGACGAGAAGAGGATCACCGCTGCTCGTGGGTATTAAGACAAAAACGAGATTGGCCACCGATCACGTGCCCATCCTGTACGGAAAAGGTAAGCCGACGAACGTGAACGGACACAAAGATTGACACGCGTTTTAATTGAGGTATTAGCGTGTTACGGAGAAAGGTATACAGAGATTTGGTAAATTTTAGAAGAGATCACAAGGCTATTTTTGGTCGCTCGGGCGCCGAGAACTACTCGATTTAAAGTGCTGTCGATAGCGTTGGTATGAGCGGTGGAAATATATACGTTGTTGATAGATACGCTTGTTGATTTATCATTTCCAAGGAGAAGGCGAAGCAGAATTTTCCTTTAATTATTAGATGATAATCACCCTTTCTTTCTCCTGGCAAGGAGATTGCTATATGGTTATAATAATTGCGCTGGAAATATTCTCAGAGTAATGAAATAAAGCCCCCTATAGTCCTTTTACGTGTCAAGTGTACGGACTAAACCTAAGGTATATTAATAGCATGTGTCTTCAATCTATAGCTTGTCTATTTTTTAAAGTAATTAACGCGTATTTCAAAGCAACATACTAAGACCCATCATTACATCGTCATCCTTTTTCTATGTTTCTCTTCAGTGTTTTTAATAACGTAGTGCTCTATTGAAGTAGATTTATGTCGGACAAAGAGTGTTGTTCAATAACAATGATTAACATACAAATGATACTAACGCCAGAGTATCTTGTTTACGCTGAAAATATCTTTTAAGAAGTATTTAACACGGCGTTGGATATTTGATTTAGTTTGGTAGCTGCTTGTAATCGAGCAATCAATGTTTTATTTCTGAATAGTACAGTAAATCGTCGATTATCCGAATTAATAGATAGATTTATTCTGATTATCAAATTTTCGCGCTTTTTGTATGTTCATTGCATAAAAGAGTTCATAGAAATCATAACGTGTGAAAAGTGTGTTTCTCTAAAATAAATATTTTGATGATATACATAGCATATGTATTAAATCATTACGATGTAAATATAGCTGTTGAAGTTAATACCTTTTAATATGATCGTTTTTTCTATAATAATTGTTTACATTATAATACGTTAGAATAAGTTTTGTAGAATTATAAATACGTAAAGTATTTGGTATTTATGTAATCGATCAATTTTCGGATAATTGGCGTTTCATTATATTTAATATTTTGTTATATTTAAGCATGTTTAGATAGCATGTTGTTTTGTTAAATAGTGTTGTTAATATTTGTTTATTAAAGTTATATTTGTTATTTGTTCCCTTGAACATCGATGAGACAGTCATCTGCATGTATACTTTCTCGGTGATGAAGTTTTACATAGATACTATATGATGTTTCTTTTGCATGAACACCAATGGTTATGTTCTTCAACTTTTCGTCTCAACAGATGAATCTCCATGCGTAAACAAAGGTATATACACTACTCTACACTACTCTACACTTATCTTATTTCACTCTCAACTTCGGACCTTTTATTTTATTTCAATCCAACAGTCCTTTAAGTATATCTCATTGTCTCAAATATAATTAACAATTTTAAATGATCTCGCAAAAGGTCCATTGTTTGAGAAATGCATGCGAACTAATTTTGCTTTTTATTTCTCATATTTGTTTTATAAATTTTCTCGTGACATTATTTTACATGCTATGATTCTTATAAATTGAATTTACTTTTTTAATAAAGGATCCTTTATAATCGATATTTCGTTCTTTCTTTCTAACAAAAGTAATATACATTGGCTTTTTCTTATTCGCTCAATTATATTTGTACACAATATTACTCGACTACAGAGAAACACCATGAGACACCTGTACCGTATTAATCATTCTTTGAATTGCTTTGAAGCATAGCGAACCAACAAGATAATATGGTCAAAGTCATTCAAGTCAAATTTATTTTCATTTCAAATATCTATTCGACAGAAGCTTGTGCATTCGTAGCTTTGTGATTATACACACATGTTCGATTCCGTAGAAAATTTTGGGAAAAGATGTCCAACGTATTCCCTCAAACACTTTTTAGTAGAACTTATTAAAAAAAAAAAAAAAAAGAAACAAAAGAAAATATATTTTGAACATCTTCTCCTAAATTTCCTAGAAAAGCTAGATTTCGTAAACGAATCAATCATGGAACCAATATATTCAGCGCGTGCATCATGTTTTCTTATTTTTTTCCACGTTCGTTACTATATTTTGTATTGCTATTGTTACTGCATTACTTGTTTGCTAATTGTTTTGTTTTCTTTTTCGTCACCCCCGCATCCAAATTTGAGCAGAAGGTGAAGCGCCCACTCAAGGTAATACTTTTACAGTCATATATATGTCTCTTTCTCCTTCTGCTTGCCGTTAATTCATCCATATCCACGCTTCAGAAAAAAAAAGAAAAAAGAAAAAGATTACGCTACGTGTTTGATAAGCACGAAACCGCCTGGGATCGAATCGCAACACGCTTGTATGTTGTGGAATTTTAAAGAAACGGCACATGCCTTACTTCGCTTTTCAGTACGTATAAGCAGAATGCGCATTTCTTTCAGTACATGGAAACACAGCAGTTGCAGACAGGGTAGAATATATAATACAGTATATCTAACACAACCCAAACAAATCTTCTTTTTCTTCTTTTTGTAAAACTGTTTATTAAACAGGTGATTTTCCTCTTCTAAGGATATCCTTTAATTAAACAATTCCTTTCTAATTGTTTATCGAATCCATCGTCATGCGGGAGTTGTTTAATGCCAGTCGTCATATTTTAATACGGTTGCGTTGTATACACGTTAACAATTGTACTTTTCCAATCGCTTTATTATTACAATCGTCATGGTCATGTTATAAGTTAAGCCACTCTTGTTATCGTCGTTCCACGAACGTATACATATTTGCTCAATGTCGTCCGTTGATTAGAGGTATACAAGAATAATTAATGGCGTTGTTGTTAACAAGGATTGATTTATACGTATTACTTATCATCTTTCCGGCTAACTTGGTGTGGGGCTTGTAAAGACAGGAAAATGGCACGGGGCAACTATAATCACTGATATTTCTTAACCTTCTTTTAATCGTTCCGATTGCGTCGTGCTATTTTTGGTATATCAGCCACGCGTCTTATTCAAGTTTTGTATATAAATGTGTAATTCTAATTTTAAGTTGAGGTTCATTCAACTCGAATTCCGTATGATACCATTAGTCAGGCTAATCAAAGATGACATGTATCATATTGGATTCGTGAATATATAAGATGTATATATAGTAAGAATAACGGATAATTATCTATTAATATGTTTCAATGGCGAAAAAATATTAATTTGTACCTTTTAACAGATCATCGTCCACATGGTCGTACTGAACTTCCGGTTATACCACGCAGTGAAAGTACTTCCAAATTTCAACCCTTGGAGGACAAAGAAGTCGAATATTTCTTCGCATCTGACGCCAGTGCTGTGATCGAACATACAAATCGTGTTATATTTTTGGAGGTGAACATTTTATCCTATTATTTATTTACTAATTAATATATATTTTATAACTCAATGATTTCAACTTTCTGCGATATTAGGATGATGACGTAGCCGCAGTGAAAGAAGGTGCTCTCAGCATCCATCGACTCCGTCGATGTATGGACGATCCCCATGCAAGAGAAATTACTACCTTAAAGATGGAAATCCAGGAGATCATGAAGGGTAACTATGAATATTTCATGCAGAAGGAAATTTTTGAGCAACCTGAGTCGGTGGTGAACACCATGAGAGGACGTCTGAACTTCAGAGACAACTCTGTTACATTGGGAGGCATCAAGGTAAATTCTCAACAATTTTAGCTTTCTGTAGTTTCTCATTGATAGTCGATATTGATCTAACGAATCCTGTATTAGGATTACATTCCTGAGATTAAGAGGTGTAGACGTCTTATGCTGATTGGTTGTGGAACAAGCTACCATTCTGCTATTGCTACCAGACAGCTTTTGGAAGAATTAACTGAACTACCAGTTATGGTCGAATTGGCTTCTGATTTCTTAGACAGGAATACACCAGTGTTTAGAGATGACGTTTGTTTCTTTATCTCACAGTCTGGTAAGATATAATTAATTTTTTATTGATTTATTTATACGAAATGTCATTCAATAATTCTTGCTTGCTTCGTAGGTGAAACAGCAGATACGTTAATGGCTTTGCGTTATTGCAAAGGACGTGGAGCTCTGATTGTTGGTATTACCAACACGGTAGGCAGTAGTATCTGTCGTGAATCACACTGTGGTGTTCATATAAACGCAGGTCCTGAGATTGGTGTTGCTAGTACCAAGGCTTACACTTCCCAGTTCATTTCTCTTGTAATGTTTGCTTTAGTTATGAGTGAAGACAGAATCTCCCTTGGTAGTAGACGTCAAGAGGTATTATTAATTTCTTAATCAACTTCGTTATACATTTTAAACAGTATGTTGCAATATGTAAACCTGTTTATCCAATAGATTATCGAAGGATTGAAAAATTTGGATAACCTCATTCGTCAAGTTCTCCAACTTGATGAAAAGGTTAAAGAATTAGCCAAGTCTTTGTTCCAACATAAATCTTTGCTGATCATGGGTAGAGGATACAACTTTGCTACGTGTATGGAGGGAGCTTTGGTACGTTGTTCATGCTTTAAATATTATATCTTTTAAGTTATTTATTAATTCTTTTTGTTATATTTATTCTATTTGAATAAATTTATTTCTCTCTTGTTTATAGAAAGTTAAAGAATTAACATATATGCATAGCGAAGGTATCATGGCAGGTGAATTGAAACATGGTCCACTAGCGCTCGTGGATGATTCAATGCCTGTAATAATGATCGTCATGAGGGATCCAGTTTATGTGGTAAGTAGAACTCGTAAACTTTCTCTTTCCTTACGATTACCTAACGTAAAAAATTCCGAACGTAATATTTCACAATTACTTTTCAGAAATGCATAAACGCCTTACAACAGGTTACTGCCAGAGATGGAAAACCGATCCTTATCTGTGAGGAAGGCGATGAAGAAACGAAAATGTTCGCTGATAGAATTCTTGAAGTACCCAAAACAGTGGATTGTCTCCAAGCAATCCTTGCAGTCATTCCACTACAATTGCTATCTTTCCACATCGCGGTTCTTCGCGGATGTAACGTCGATTGTCCGAGAAATTTGGCGAAATCAGTTACGGTTGAATAAAAGATCAACCTACATTCATTAAAACGCAGCATACCATGCTTGGTTGTCAACTTCAGATTTCAGCAACTTATTGAGAAAATATCGTTATTATAACTGCGTTTATCCATTACGAAAGATAGGAAGAAGACAGATGGAACGATTTTTGAAACACGCCGTGATATTCTCGTGATAACATGAAAATGGTCATCGACTATATTTAATACGTTTCTAAGTACTTAGTAATTATAGCTTCGTATTAGAATACGAGCAAAATAGACTTAGGAAGTATTTAGGTTAGCCATTTGGACCATCGTTAGTCTTTATACGTAATCTTACGATAGAAGACGAGTACTTTAAAAAAGAAAGAAACTCAACGAAGACGTTCCTTACGTGGGTAACATTAATTGAGTTCCCAATGACCCCAGTGCATTTAACGGTTGTGTATATTCATATCAATCGGCAAAATACGAAAGGAAGAGAATGTAACGCTTTTCAGATCATAAGTCAATTGTGATTCTATCTCTTTATAATCAAGTTGAATAAGACTGCGGTAGAAAAAAGAGAAATTGTTACTGTATCGCGAACTTGTGCTCTATGACGTTTACATGTGGTTACTCTGAAAAGTGTTTGTATGCGTATGTATGTGGCTGTGTGTACCTCGTAAATCTCAATGTAGATGAAAAAAAGCAACCATAATGTATTGAGAGAATTAGATAATTGATGAAAACGAATAATTTATGGACACGATGATCGTCACGATATTCACTTTATGGTGTTTATCGTATACTTTGAGAAATTTATATTTTGTACAGTATTTAAGAGAGGAACAAATATGAAATTTGATATCTTACCTTCCACTTTTGTTATGGAAGATAAATTAACAACTTATACGTGAATTTCATTACCAATGTGATACATTCATGTTCAAGTTAAAAAGAAATTGTTGTATAAAGTTAACTTTACTACAGAACAATTTTTCAGTTCCATGCAGTAGAAAATCCTCGTCTTATCTCTTAGCTGTAGAAAGTTCATTCGACTCAAATATAATCATGGAATAAATGCAATTATTATATGAATTACTTGAGGTGTTGGAAAGATAAACACGACCGTTTATAGTTTTGCCTATAAAGATATGTAATAACTTCTGCAATATATCGAGCGATAAATAAACTCTAAGGAAATATAAATAATAAATATATATATATACATATATATATATATACATATATATATATATATATGTTATTCATATTAAGTTACTATAATATATGTTGGATAAAAGAAAATGCACATTTAACAAATATATAATTTTTTTTTAAACACGTCAATGGCCATAATTGAAATATAAATGTATCAAATAAATTGTTAAAAACAAATATACAAATATTTAGTAGAACATTTTATATTTATATCGACATATAATTGTATTATATATATATATATAATATTATGTTACGATTTTAATATGTTTTAGTTAAAATCGAAAGACAAAACTAATATTCGTAAACCATGCACAAGCTCGGTTGTCTTTTAATTTCTCGAGATCTATGCTTGGTGTATCGTTCTAATTGGACGTGCGCCAAAAAGCCGATCGAAGTGATACCAAAGCTCCGGTTCGGACGGCGTATGCGCCAGTAGTAAATCTCGTGTTTATGTCGGACATGCGGAATCGAGTCAGTGCGCGGTATTCCGTCTAACCAGCGACGGTACGCAACTCCATTCGTTCGTTTGGATCGCGAAAACGTAGAATAAAATCGGTGGAAAATTTTCTTCGGTCGATATTTCGAAAAACGATCACAGTTTCATTAGCCACGAGTCGTTTTCTGACGGATCGTGTTTATATCGCGTGAAAAATACACGAAAATATCAAATCTGACGACTACGATAAAACATCGCAACCGGAAATACGCTGTCGCATATAAGTACGTTCGGGCGACGAAAACGACGTGTTCGTTGCGTTGACGATAGAGAAAAAAAAATATAACGGAACAGAAAGTAAATTGTAGCGTGAAGCGTGATCCTGAAAAAGTTAGCCGCGTGATCGAGCATAATTCCAGGTGCTAAATTTAAATGTGTTGCCTCGATCCCCTTGGGTTATTTCGCCTAGGTTGGCTGCGCTCGAACGGCTCGCTAGCGAACCTCTATCGTCAGCCCTGCCGGCAGTGGTATCGGTGTTGATCGTTGTTGCCAGGTATTATACGTGAATCGTGGTCGCCATTGCCGGCGGTAGCGGCATTGGTGTGAACACGAACACACATCGCCTGCGCGATCGCGAGCTTACCACCACTACGCGAGTCAGTCGACGGTCTGCCGGCGAGCAGTGCGGACGCGTCGTGGAAGGTTTGAAGTTGTCGTTGCCCGCAAATATTTGCTGGCACGACCGCGATTTCGCCCCACCGTCGGTGCCACGGTAACGCACGGCTCCCGCGGACAGAACCACTTCCCCTCTGCCCGGCCCGACGACCCTC